AACTAGATTTTTAGGTATTTAAGAGATCTATAAGATAAAAGCACACATAAAAAGATCCGACTAATAGCAAAAGAGCTATGTCCTAAAACCTAGTAAAAATACAGGTTTAGGCAATTGTGGGTAATGCGACAGTAGTGTCAAGTACATCAATGAAATTCCTCACATCCGGAGGGTTTATACTTCTGAATAACCACAACAAAATTGAAGTGGATTGGTCAAGTAGTTTTTGAGAATTTCTAATTACTTATCCGAAAACACCTGTTTTGCGGTCTTCACTACTAGTTTATTGAGCATGTACAAGGTTCTTTAAAATGGCAGCTTATACCAAAATACACGAGTTCCTTTGCCGAAATGAATCAAAACCATTCCTTATAAACAAACATTTCGTATTTATGAATAATTGAAGAGATGCGTTATTATACAGATTTTAAAACAAAGCATCTATCACCTTTTGGTGTTAAGAAAAAAATTTTCTTCAAGATTTCTTCATACCCTTGTGTATTCATACTTAGAGCTGTCATTTTTACAGGGTCACAATGAGCCCTAAAGTTTATGAAAAACCTCATACTTAAATGCATTAACCTGTTATATAGTTAGCACGTAAACTGGAGACGCAACCATGTCTCAAACTGTCAGCTTAGTTAGTATGTAGAATATGCTGCATAACTACAGCAGCGATGGCTGCATGACTTTGTCATATACGTAGGTCACGTAATCCAGTTTCTTCTCAAATAAATATACTTCCCTGGACCTTCTTTTTAAAAACTCTAATATATACTGAATATGTCTGTTTTGGAAATCTCGTAGTCTTAATAAATTATTTCAGTTTCAGAATTGTATTTTGTACACTGTTCAAGATTATTATTCGCTTAACATTTGTTAGTGTCAGGTATAGTGGTATAAAGACCCAGTACACCAAGAGACGTCGTGGTGTGGTGGAAAGGAGAAGGATTGAAACCTAAGGACGCAGGTTCGACTCCACAAACCTTCCTCTTTTTCTATTTATTTTTTTTAAATTTGGTAAAATAAATGCTTTTTCACATTATGTGCACTTTTGTGATCAAACAGCTTTCGCGCACCATAGACAAAGTAAGTTTGCGAATAGGAAACCGGCAATATACGTGTAATTGCTTCCGATTTTTTTTTCATTATTTTGATAGGATTTCATGAACACCTTGTTTGATTATACCAGATAATTTTTCAAACATATATCTTAGATGTGTAAATTATTAACCACAAATAATGAACCACATCCGATGTTTTTTTGTGATATGCTCAAGTTTTCACTTGGAGCCGCAGAGGATGCTCATAACATTAATTAAATGGACTAACTCACAGTTTTTATATTTATAATGACAGCGTGAAGTAAAGACAACCTCGCTTTACAAAGCAATGCCATTTCAATAATACTTCAACAGTTTGAATGAAATAGACTTTGAATGATATTATTAGGAACAACATGTCTCAACACGATATCATGCTTATATCGTTTCTCAATATGTATGTGGGAAGTATAATTATTTCAACAAACGGAATGCTTACTTCGATCAACATTAGCTAGCCATCGTTTGAGGAAAACGTAGGATATGTCTACAAAGGTTTATTCATCACGTAAAAAAAGTTCTTTTACAAGAAAGAACGTTACGTAAAAAAAATATGTTACTTTGGAAAATTAGTCCGGCCAATGGAATCGCATGTTTCAAATGCTTGTCTAATGGATGCAAATATGGACGATGGTTACGTATTTGGTACATTAAGGCTCGATTTTATTGAGACAGGGCGCCAAAAAGCACGTGGGTCACAAATTTAATCAATGAAGCGTCTTTGAAGCAATGTATCTAATGAATATAATAATAATTATAATAATAATAATAAACGGTTTTATTGGTGGAGCTTAGCACAGCTATTCTTACACTCAACCTTTCTAAAGATTAAAGCTTCATGCTAATTTGGCATACAAATATGGTATTTTACATATACAGCAAACGATTATATGCCTGTGAATCTAACTAAAAAAAAAAGAACATAATGGTAATTGATTACAGGGCATTTATTTATTGATCCTATGCTGAATTCCTAGAAGATGTTGCCTGAGATGCAGTTTGAAACGATGGTCGAATATGGTCGATTTCTTGAAAAAAATTTCCCTCAAACTAGAGAACCATCATACGATTTGTGGAAGATGGGCCCTAATTCTCATATTAAATTAAGAAATACATGATAAATCAGTTGGTTTAGCTACAAAAAGTTTTTTAAGTAAGCGGCCATGATCATATAATGCACCAATTAAAATAAGCATTTGCGCCATACTCCAAGCATGGACACAAATCTAATACAATATCTATATTGATATTTTTAGCAACTAAATTGCATTTTATTGAAAATAACAGCATGTCACAGTTGCTATACAAATACTGCATGGTAAATTGTTTGAGAACATAAATAAAATTACAGAATGCTTATTCTAGCTAGCTATAGAGTGATAAAGCATATATTTTACACATCCGCTTTATTTTAAAATGTTTCTGTTCAATTATTTACAAATACGAAATGTTTCAATTTGGTTATCAAAAATTTCTTTGTTTTTCGCATACAGATAACGTTCATCTTTCGAAATGGTTTGTGAGTCATATCGGCTAAGTAAACTGGTGTGTTTTGCTATAAAATGCCCTTTAAACGAACCTTGTGTATGATCAATAAGCTAGTAGTGAAGGCCGGAAAACAGGTATTTTGGGATAAACAATTAGAAATTCTAAAAAACATCTTGACCAATCGACGCCAATTTTGTTGTGGTCATTAAGAAGTATAAAGCCTACGGATGTGAATTAATTCAAGTATATGCTTAACATTATCTTCGCATTACGAAGTGCCAAAACCTGCTTTTTGACTAGGTTTTCGGCAATAACTTTTTTGTTATTGGTCGGATCTTTTTAAATGTGGTTTCACTTTGTAGGTCTCATGGATACCTAAAGATCTTAACTGGAGAGTTTTTTAGTTCCTGCCAACATGATTGAATCCCAAAAAACACGGTTTTTCATTCATTGTTACTGAATAGAAATAAGTCTTCCCACAACAATTGGTGTACCCCATATTATGGGTCCATGTTTTAAATACGCTCTTGAACAACTTGCATCAATAAAATCAAACTTTACAGTTGAAGACACAAGTAGATAAAGGTGTCATGTAACAAAGAAAATTTACTTTAAACATTTTTTTTGGGACTTTTTACTTTATTGACATTTTAAATATTTAGTTTAATTATTTTGTTATATTGTTTCTGCAAAAAAGTAATCACAGAATGAAAGAATCACTCTTCAAGGTTAGTTTAATGCGAAAAAAGCAATTTAAAAAAATGTTACAGACACCTTTATCCACTTGTGTCTTCAATTATTTGAGGAAATTTGCTAATTTGATGAGACTCTAGTACTATTACTGGGATTATGCATGTTGAAAATCATGTTTTTAACATTGTGTAATTGATTGTTGTTTACGTTGAGGTAAAATAATTCACTAATATCTTCAAACAATTTTCTACCAGAGCTCATAAAACAGTTCAATGGCTGCAAGCTTAAACAGGTTTTGTGCAGGACATGGTTCCTGCTGTGAAGTTGAAGCACACTTTTAAATCTAATCCCGCACTACGAACGCACTTTGCATACTAGTCCAAATATAGTACTCTACGTCGACTAACATTGGTTTCGGCTTGTCGTAGTCGAGATCACTGAGAATCTGATTTGTCATGAGGATATCGTGTCAACCGCAACATATGCTTAAAAAAGTTGGATTACTTGCTGTTGCTGAGTATTTTTAATCACATAACCTCACTCTGTACAAGGCTCAGATAAAACCCAGCCTCAAGTGCTGCGCACATGCTTGGAGTGCTATCATCCCGACTACCGTGTTCACACTCGATGTGGTTCAGAGGAGGATCGACGAGACTTCCACAACGGACTGTCTCGGGGACCTTTCGCACCGGGCGGTCGGCGATGTGGTTCTCTTTCTACCGATATGTCAAAGTGCTCTGCTGCTCAAAGTTCTTGTCAATTATTGCACTGCGCGTTGAGCCTGTCCGACGGATCCGCCAGCTTCTGATTAGCATCCAGCCGAACTTTATGGACAATAATAAAATCCAAAGCAATTGGCATCTCCTTTTCCAGATTGCGAATGAAGCTTTGGACTATATACTTACTACGAAGAAAGACTACTTCAATTTTTAAAGGCCCGGATTGGAAGAATTTCGTAGTATTATGAATATTCTTGCGTTCTTTATTTGAGTTTTTTCGTCACTTTACCGATTTCCTCTGCCAATAAATCTCATCTCGTACGATACCAGCATTTCCCTTAAGTTGTAGTATCGAAAATTGCAATCGAAGTTATATAACAATAACTACAAATAAAAATGATGCACTTACCTCCTCAATCTTGTATAGTAGTTGAATACCCTAGGTGAATAGTAAAGTATGACTTCACACAACTGGTGGCTAACCCATTGCACCGCCACGAGAAAAATCATAAAACCGAGATAAGTTATCGCATTTTCTAGCGGATCTATGCAGTCCTATTAACTTAGTGTACCAGATTAAAGTTTATCAACCATTTTGCGGCAGCAAATCTTATACATGGATATGCTGGTGTGTCAGTCATTTGCATGTGCGATTTAATGTAAATTAATATGTTAGTTTCGCTGGAATTGTTTATAAATCAGTCTAGTAAGTTGTTCTGTTATTCGTTTCATTTATCAGAAAATTACTACCATAAAATTTATTTGTAGTACATATCACTAATAATATTAATTAGCGTATAACTTATTGATATTTTCTAACGAAGAGGGAAGCCCGTCAATCACTACGGATATCTTGTGACCAGAGAGGAAGGTCCTAGGATGGAAGCTTGCGTAAAAGGGATGCATGCTACAGTTGATCGAAGGCTTTCGTGATGTCAAGCATAATGGCATAAGACTCACGATGTGACTGGTAAAGACATGGCACCTCGGCACAACCCTAAAGAAGGTACATGCTACCACCTGTAAGTATTAGTAATATGTTGATACAACGCTATCACTTTAGCTGGCATTGGTAGACAAATGAGTCGATAGTGTGCACTAAAACTACGCAAATTCGGCGACAAACAATGCAATGTAAACATATAAGTTTGGCTTCTTCCAACCTATTCGAATTCTTTGTTAAGAGCCGACACAGCACTAGTGGCAGAACATGATGCGATACATGCTGTGGCGGAAATTTCTCTTAGTAGAAACGTCTCTCTAGGTGAACTGTCTTAAAGCTCAGGTGGGCTACATTGACAGAAGGTTTGAGCTGACTCAAATGACTAGTGGGTAAACTGTATATCGAAATAGAGGAACGTCCTCCTTCAACATATTGCTTTATTCGAGGTTTTTTTAACCCTTTAATTCACAAAGTAATTGCTGCTAACACAACATTAAATTATGTATTTACATTACTCATACTATTAGGCAAACACAGCAAGACGGTAACTTGAAGGTGTCGAACTCAACTTGGTCAGAGTCTTTACCCAAAGCGAGTAACACCCTGGACGAATATCTTTGCTCACACTTTGTTTTCGCGTCAAAGAGAGTGTTACCTGAACTGCACGAGCTGGAGTCACTAAAAATGATAAAAAATGATTATTGAATCTTTTGGCACAATTGCGGCTCAATTTTGCCAGTTCGCCGGAAGTGCATACTGGGAGGAAACTGAATCGATCTCTATTCACGTGGTGGACAAAAAAGGAAACATCGTTGGACTGATGATGGATTAGAGTCGTGGCATCTATGGTGGAAACCGTCGAAGCCAGCAAAAATTGACCCCGAAACTTAACGCCTGACTGAGAGCGCAGTGATCGAAGCGAGCACTAGCTACTGCGCACGCGCAGGGTATCTGATGTTATAGCACAGCTTAAATAACAATGAGCTATGAATCTCTCCTGTCACTGTCAAAAACCGCCGCCATTAAGGTGGAGAATGTCAAACGAAAATTCCCCCAGTGGCAGGGGCCAGCGGCCGCAAAATGGCTTAGTTTTACTAGTGAAGAATGTTTCTTAAATCTCTAATTTAAATGTTCATGTGCTCTCGTTTTTTCTGGAACAAACGCGTCGACATTCTTGTGGTTTATAGAAGGTTGTAGTTGTTTGGTGTTTTCAGCACTTATACCGAAAATGCAATGGGGTGATTATATCGCAGCAGTGTAGAACACATAGCAAAAGTAAATATATTTCCGTTTATTGTAAATACATCCGTCATTGCAAATTTATTTTCAAGCTTCCTCATAAATAAATAGTCATACACTAGATCATATCGAAATATTATTATTTTAAGAATATCTGGGGTAATGGCAGATACGTGGCAACACCGGCTGCTGCTCAACACTAAAACCTGTTTCATAGATGTACAAGGGGAATTCATATGCGATTTTCTCCGCCGAAATAGCGGTTGTTTTTGACCATGACAGGAGAGTTTCATAGCTTCGTTATCTAGCCTGTGGTTACAGAACGACGACCAGTCATTGCATTCATTCATAAAAATCAAAATTTATAAAAGAAACAGATGCCTGCAGAATCAAGTGGCTGGATCTTAGACTATTAATAACATGTTATTACGGCGGATCTGTCAAAGTACATCGTTGCCTGATGGATCGGACCGAATTTTCCCAGAATAAGAACGAATGTCCCTCAGAATTACTACTTTTTCAAAAAAAATCTCACAATTCACAGTTAATGGAAAGATGATTTTTTACAGAACATGACATACTCAAAAAATAAAGGTCCCCCAAGATAGCAACCCTGTCAAAGCATCAGTAGTACCCCAGGCGTCAAGCTTTGAGGTCGTTCTTACAGCACGAACAGCATTGCCGTAATTTGTCCTAGTAAATAGGCTCTATGCCTGGAAATGGCGCAAATAAATTGAGGTCAAATTGTTCCTAACCTCAAGTCAAGCATATATCTGTATTTTCATTGACAATTAATTTTTATACAAACTACAAATTTTCGGGGTGCAGCCAGTTTGCAAAATCTTCAGAATCTTCAAAACCTTAAGATTTTTTAAAATAATCACTATCTATCTACATATTTTGAAATTTTCAAGATATTCAGTTTTCAAAATTTCCTAAATTATGAAAATTTTTTGAAGCTTCATAATCTTCAAAATTCTTAAAACTCTCAGAATTTTGATAAATTTTCAAGTATTAATATTTTTAATAAAATTTAATATTTAAGGTGTTCATAACTTTCAAAATTTTCAGAATTGTCTAATTTTTTCAGAATATTCAATTCAATTTTCAAACTTATGAAAATATTCAGTTTCTTAAATTTCCAAGATTTAAAATTCTGAAAATGTCCACTTGATGATTGCGTGAATATTTGTTTGACATCCAAGAGCTGATCTATCCTCAATCGGAAGGTGGTCCTGAAGGGACGACTGTAAATGTGGGTCTTAAGAAAGTAGAATATAGGGAACTGAAGACACGCTCATTAATTGACTCGGACATGCATATCTCGTTACAATTCTCAAGGTCGCGCTGGATACTGAGAAGGTTTGAGTCAGTTGATTAGAAATTACCCTCAACAATGTAGATTTTTTTGTACAACTGAAGCCATTTCTTAATACTTACTCTACACACGTCTCCAGTACAACTCCTTGCTGATAGTCACCAAGGTTAACAATGTACATCTCTTTATCCCTTGTGTTATTCAGCTTCCTGTAAAAATATGTTTGAGTCATTGTGGAGCAGAGAATCTTTCCAGGCGTGCCGGATCTTCCGCTTATGTCTACTTTCTTCTGATTAGCCAAGTATTTTTTCAATACATCTGATTTTTCTACAAGCTTGGCAATTTTCTCTTCTGGATAGTCATTGACCTCTTGGCACACTCCGTAATCACAGTCCTTCAATTCTGTTTAAATAAAACAAAAGTAAGTATCAAATTTTTTCAATAGTAGTGAAGCAGTGAAGTACTCACGTCCTAAATATTTGTTATTTACAATAATGTTGTTCGCATTTTTTCAAAATCCCAAATGTATCAGATTATGTGAATTGATATTTAATACAGTACTCCACAAAATTAACGAACTTTTTTGCATAGCTCGAAATGGTCTCATTTGGTTGGATCATGAACCCTAACCGACTGACAATATTTCTTATTGGCAAGCTCAAAGCTCCTCTAAATAAGAAATTGAGTGGTTGCTTCCAGAGATCTGAAAAGAGTTTTTGTAATCTCTCGTCAACAAAGAATCGATATTGAGATTCACCAGTACGACCTTGATATTGTCATATGAGCGTACGCATGGGGGTTCCAGCGGGCCGTGTCCCCTCTGAGAATCCGGTTAGACTTTGACATTTACATAGTTTCTGTAAAGTTTTGTGGATTTTTAGACTTCAGCCCGCCTCTGACAAAATCTGCTACCATCTGGGGCAGAAACACTTCTCTTGCCGATGATCGAATTTTTATTCGATCAATGTGGGAACCGCATCGCAATGGTCGATTCTGGTGTGATAGATAACGCTTTGCGATGTCTTATTTCGATAGATCGTACCTCCGGTACAGAGAAGAGTTGCGATGTTTTCGTTCGTTAATCCAGAGTCAACGGACCAAGCTTAGACTAAGCTGATGAGTAGCCTTGCAGCACTAAGCAGCTGTCCACGCTTGGCTACTGCGTAAAGCGGATAGCAGTCTTACCTTTCTTCTAGATTTTTTGAAATGCGGAAATGCGGAAATATGACCAATAGATTTTTTTGTTCGTTGTTCTTCACGGTGAATCTTTTTAATTTGGTGCCATCCGTTTATCATAACTGCAAGTATGTAAAACTTCAAAACTACTCTCTTTAGGTACCAATCTTGGGGATTCAGTTTACCCCTTGAAAACGTTTTTTCATGGATATCAAAATACGTGTCTCTGATTTGAGAGTAGAATGATATATTTAAAGCTCATCAGAATTGGAGGCGGATACCTGAAACGACTCAGGGGGTAGTGTACCCCTTGAATGCTGCGTATTCTTGAAAAACGCAAAAACAAGTATGTGCTAATTTTCTTCTCCCGATTATTTAAAATTTGGAACACGGAACGATTCATAAAGATTTTGTGATTTTCAACCATTATTAATATAACTTTGAATCTTTTCATCCCAATAATATGACCCCAAATGCGTTTACAATTATTTTTGACAGATATGATCTATTTAGTACCATCCGTTTATCACAACAGCAAGTATGTGAAATTACAAAACAACAGACCTCTGGTCCCAACTTTGGAGGTTGATTTCAGCCCTTAAAACCTTCTTCCGATTCTACAAAAATAGGTCTCTTAGATTTTAACGCAGAATAATAAAAAGCTCATCAAAATCCGAGAGAGATATCTTAGACTATGTCCTTTTAAGTCAATAGTTACCTATTTGCTTATTCAGCCCGTTGCTCCTCCGGTTCCTAGTATTTTGCATGTGATGTGCGCTAGTTTGTGTAGAATAACTGAAAAACTAATCAAGATCTATTTGAGAAGACTTTCAAGCTGCAACAATTGAAACATTCGGGAAAAATATGGGTCATGACAGTGTTTTCTTTTTGTGTTGCAATAACTATAGAATTTAATTAAATATAATTAGGTACTCAGAAGGATAATTTTCCAAAAGAACAACTCTTCTAAAAAAAACTGACAATGCGTTTCAAATTAAAACAGGAGTTAATAATAATAAAGCTTAAATAAACAAAGTACTAAAGAAGACGCTGATTTATATTACGCAGAAACCGTGAAAATGGAGAAAAAATGTAAGCAGCTTAAGGATGGATCCAGCCTTTGTATCGGCGATTGATTATTGTGACTTACAAGTGTCATCCTCCGCCCTAAATACTCCGGTTTTGACGCTTATCCTTAAAAATTAAGTTAAACTCACCTGTGTAGCAACAGCCACTAGAAATAAGACACGTGTATATTTCATCATATCTCTATCTCGAACCACCACCTACACATATATTGAATTGATTATGATTAAATTACTGGTTTCGTTGCAATTATTTTAATTTAATTACCGATTTAATAAAAATACGAGCCCCTTCCCACTTCAGTTGGCCCAACTATTGAAATCTTAGTTTTTTCTTATCAAACACAAATAATAAAAATGTAGCAGGGTGTTATAGGTTTAAAATATTAACAATGAATATTTTGATAATATATAGTAGAAAACACCAACTTTATCACGCCCCAATCAAATTTGCAGCATGAAAATAACACATGTTGCAATTACAGCATATCAACCTAGTTTCATTTCAATACAAAATAAGTCTATAACGCATAGTATAGGTGGCTGTGAAAAATAAAAGCCGTGACAATTGTTTTTATTAATCACAGCTGTCAGAATACGTTTAAAATAGTTTTGGGTAGTTACGGTTTTCAAATGGGTAGAGGAAAAGTTATTAGTGAGAAAATTCGGTTACTGATAATTAAAATTTTTAATTCTGGGAAATCAAACTCAGAAATTGCAACTTTGTTAGACTTATCGCGGTACAGTGTGAGAAATATTGTTAGAAGATATAACGCAACTGGTTCAGTTAATATTAAGCCACGATATGTGAAAAAAGTAATGTCACAAATGCCGACCGAAGAGCATTAAGAAGAATAATCGTGAAAAACAGGCGTGCCAATTATTTATAATTAAGTGATCTGTGGAGTGGCGCTGTTGGAAGGAAAATTTCGAGGTCTACAACTCATAGAGAGGCCCGCAAACTTTGATTCAGCACTTGCAAGGTAAGTTTACTTATAAAAAAAAAGTGAAGTAAAAACCCTAAAGTTGCACAACTCGTTTATAGGCCAAAGAAAAGCCACTATTAATTCCACTGCAAAAGAAAAATCGGCTTAGATGGGCTAAAGAACAGAGACAATGGACACTTCAACAATGGTGTGCAATACAATGGAGTGATGAGGCCCGATTCGAAGTTTGTGTTGGTAACAGTCGCAGTAGAGTTATTCGCAAAAAAATACCGACATCGACGTTCTGATTTGTCATAAAGACATCTTGTCAATCCAAACAGATGTTTAGAATAAGTTGGATTATCTGTTAAGGCATAACATGTGTTTTTATCAACATAAACTCACTCTGTACAAAGCACAGACAAGACTCAGCCTCAAGCGCTGCTTGCATGTTTCGGGTGCTATCACCCCGACTACACTGTCCATTCTCGATGTTCAGAGGAAGATTGTCCGACTGATCGACGAAGATTCCCCGACGGACGGTCTCAAGGCCCCTTCGCACCGACGGGCAATCGGCCACGTGACTCTCTTCTACCGCTATGTGAAAGTGCTTTGTTCCTCAAAGTTCTCCCGCGTGACTGCACAGCACGTTGAGCCTGTCACACGGACCCGCTAGATTTTTGCCTAGCGTCCTGCCGAACCATGTTGACGGTAATAAAATCAAAAGGAACTAACATTCCCTTTACCAAATTGTGTATGAAGCCATGGATTATACAGAGTGTCCAAGATACGCACCGTATGCATGGGGATCTTAATACCTGAGATACAGCTTAGGTTAAATTAGGAAAAAGTTGCATACCTTTTGGAGTATTTACATGCCATTGAGAAACTCATAAATATTTCATGGCTTATTGAGATGTTTGGCAAAACCTATAATTTGGACAAATCGTTTTTTTTTCTGACTTAATTTTAAGAAATATCAAGAACCTAATGAAACTTTGCCATTGGAACTTTTCAGGCACTACATGATGGTGTTTATAAATTTTGTGCCTGACGGTTCGCTATCTTGAGAAACCATTCAATTTTTCATATTGTCCCAAAAAAAGTACACCCTGTATCTAATAGCATTTTAAATATGAATTCAACGATGTATCAAGTGTTACATTTATTTTCTTGGTTATAAGCAAAAATGCCTTTTTCTGATTTTTTATTCTTTTTAAGTAGGGGTTGCAATCAATTCCTTGACTTGACGTAAATACCTGTCACCGAGTGTTGTTATTATTGTGTACCTATTGTTAATATTGCTTTATTATCGTCAAAGATGCCGGGTGGTCATTTTAGCAATGGAAAAAAGTTCGACATGCTGACGTGATCCATTTTGTGCCACGAAAATACTAAAAATACTGCAGAAATGTATCTTGATAAATTTTCCGAAAGAAGACAGCCAAGTAAATCCATCTTCTTAGAGTTGGCTCGAAATTTAAATGAATATGGTTCATCCAATACCCTTTTACTTCTCGAAAACTACAATCTATTTATTGGAAACTCTGAATAGTGTTTTACAAGCAGTTGCTGAGAACTCTGAGATATCAATTAGGCAAATTGAGAAAAATGTAGGATTTGCCAATATCTTAGACTAGGGGATAACATACGGCGCCAGCATTTTGTGAGTGTTACATAATATGAAGGTGTGAAGATTTTAATTTCCCTTCAAAGATGGGAAGACAAGACTTTGGTGACTAATAATGTTCATCTTTAATCGCGGCAACAGTCATTACAGTGCCCAAGAAAATCTGCGGGCTAAAAAAGTATCTAGACATCGAGAACGTTTTAGGGCTTAATGTTATGTGGAATTCTGGGGACCAAAATATTAGGTCGATTTATCTACCACATTTCATTCTCTGACGGTACGTTCAATTGTTGCCACATGACCTAGAAGACTGCTTGGATAATTTACCTTTGGCACAGGTTAACAGCTGTTGGTTTGAACAAGACAGTACTCCTGCGCATATCTCTAGGCAAGTTCGAGAGTATTTTTCTTAGCAATTCCTTGGAAGGTGAATAGAAACCACCAGTGAAGTGTTCTGGCTGGCGCGTTCCCCAGACTTAACTGCTCTGGACTTTCTTGTTTGGAGTTTTACTAAAAACCAAGTGTATCAGTATGCTTTTGAAACTGAGCATCAGCTTCAAGAATGTGCAATGGAAGCATTTAGTATGATTACCCCAGACATTTTACGTGATGTTTTTAATTCATATTTGTGTTTACAAAATAATGGCAACCTATTTGAATACCTACTGTGAATAAAATAAAAATAATGTTAAAATGTATTCGTTATTCTGAATATATAATACATCACGCATTTGTTTGCAACGTTTACTTAAATAAAATAAAAAAACTCGTCTTTCTGTGCAACTAAGGAAACAAATTTAACATGCGATACATCGTTGAATTCATAGAAAAAGATGACATCTGGTACAGGGTGTACTTTTCTTTCGGATCATATAAAAAATAAACTTGATGATGGTTTCTCAACATCGAAACATCGAGCACAAAATTCAAAAACACCATCATGTGGTGCCTAAAAAGTGCCGCCGAAAAGATTCTATTAGTTTTTTGATATTTCTAAAATTAAAGTCAGAAAAAAATAAAAACGATTTGGCTAAATTTTAGTTTTCCTCAAATACTTCAGTAGGCCTTGAATTTTGTACAGGTTTCTCAACTGCATGTAAATTGATTCCAAATAATTTAACCTAAGCTCTAAGTAAGGGACATGCATATCGGTATTAGTTGATCAGCATAGTAGTCTCGAAAATTGTAATCGGGGTTAGATATAACAAAAACAACAAAGAAAGATAATGCACTCACCTCCTGGCTGGTTGCCCTAGCTGAACAATAAAGTATGACTTCACACAACTGGAGGCTAACCCACTGCACCGGCACCAGAAAAATCATAAAACAGAGATAAGTAATCGCATTTTCCTGCATCTATACATTTCAATTAACATAGTATACGACATTAAAATTTATCAACCAAAAACATATCTCAGGTTACGTACTCTTGCTGCAAATCGATATTTACTGAATTTTAAACTTCGTAAAAAACTATGCGTTAAAACGGTATTCAAATGATTCAAAATAATTATGCATGGTTTATTTTTCGATTACGAAAATTTTACCATGTTTCAGTCAGTTACCAAATTCTGAAGTGGATGAAATTTGAGAAATTAGTAAAGTACTACTATTTAACTTTCATACATAAATTATTGCACACGTCGAAGCCCTTGTGTTTCAGAGTAAAAACTGTTTTTAGTAGGAATGTACACTACACAGGTATAATTCAATACCTGAAGTGTACAAGATATGTATACGATGAAGATCACAAATTTAAGTGGAGATGAAGATCTTTCGCTGAATATATGAGCTCTAAAAAGCAGAAATAAAAATTACATAGGCAAATGTTGATAATTTCCATGATTTTCCTCCATCATGTAATTAGTAATATTAATCTTATTTACGAGTATTTCTTTCGAGTAAATTAATTTAATTTCCTCCTCTGCTACTGTAGCAGACCATGCTTCCCCTAAAGTCAAAATAATGAATTCTTTCAGCTCGAAAAAATAAGACTTCGTACAATTTCTTTTCTCCAAGTTACTCATCTCTCATTAAATCTAGCATCTCGATTTCCCATTTTTATAGAAAAGATGTACCGAGAGTAAATCAGAAGACAGTAAATTCTCTCGAATTTCAGATCCTACATAGGGAAGCTTGATAAATAATTTTAAACCCTGCAATTAAGCCAATAACCCATATAACCATCTGTTCCAACAGAATATGTTGGAACTAGTTCTGAATTATACTTACCTGGGGCATGTTCGGAATAATAGTTCAGAATTAGTTCTGAACTAGTTCAGAACTGATGCCCTAATTAGACTTACGGTTATTGCTATATTCTTCATCAAAGGTAATCTCAAATCGCACTCACATGACAAGTAGATTGATGAAACACTGGTAGTGACACTAGAATTTCATAGGTTCAAGAAAATTATCAAGGCGGTGTGAACGTATACAACACCTTAAGACAACGGTGGACTGCAAGTGTATGTGTGAGGGGATAAAGATATGACACTGACACTGGTAATTTTCAAAGATTTTCATTTATCTGTCCATCGACGACTATGTTCTCCGTGGGATGTGACACACCCAACACGACGAGAAGTTGAAAGTCAAAGATATTATTATTCATGACATCTTTTTTTTGTTCTGTTATTGGCACGCATCCTTAAGTTCAGTATCATGCTCTAATAGAAAATAGAACATCCATTACTTAATATTACCACTATACTATTTCTGTTATAGTTACATAGAGTATGCGAATATCTATATAATATACACTATATCTATAATCTTATAATGTTACGCCTATTTTCGATAATGCTTATATATATATATATTTTCCTACTTGTTGTTATATACTTTTCTCCGCATGATCATATTCTCTTTGTAGATCCTTTGGGCTTGAAGTACCACAGCAAGTGGCTATAACCGGCCGCGTGGTAGTGGTTAGACGTCTCCTTGAAAATTCGAGGTCGTATAGCCATTTTATACTACAATGTGTAGGTTGGCTCTTGTTGTGGACTTCGTGTGTCGTTTTTTCCCCTCCAACTCCGTTTCCTCAGGTTACACCCGTATCCGGATGTGTGGGCATGTGTATCTACTTTTGTAGTTTCATATGTGCATTCATTTCGAGCCTGATGAAGCCAACCAGCAGAAATACGTATCGCTCGGGTTACCTATCCTATTTTCTGCTCGAATCCACTTTCCTCCTTTTTGCGGATTTTGCCCATTATTTTCCTACTTGTTGTTATATATATATAAGTTCGTAAAATTGCTGGTTCTCAGAACTGAGAATCGAGTCTAAATTTAGAGGCAAAGGAAGGTGTTTCGCTAAAATTCGATACAATCCAGTATTTTCTCTATTAGAACTTGTACATTCTAATATGAGGTGGTGTGAGGTTCCTATATTTCCGCAACTGCAATGTGGATCATCTCCGTATCCAATTCTTGATTTATGGTGGGGGTTCAGGACATGACCACTTCTTAAGGCCAATTCCCATCTAAGCAGCATCGAGCGGCGCGACGCAGAGCGACGCCGAGCAGCATGAAGCAGCGCTTTTATGTATCTGTTCCCACCTAAACAGCATGAGGCAGCATACGCGACGCGTAGTTTTGATCTAGCCGTCAAGATGTCATCATCTTCGTCATCAGACGATTTTATATTTCTCGCAGCTGTATCCCATGAACTCGAAAAGAGAAAAAAATGCAAGCGAAAATATTGGGTCCATGACATATTTCGTGCAAGGCTGAATGAAGGCGAATTCCATACACTTTTCGGACGACTCCAGCAAGATGAACAGAAATTTTACAAGTACTATCGAATGTCTTCAGAAACTATTCGATCTCTTGCGCATTCCATTAACCAAGCAAAATACAAAATTTCGGCAAAGCATCAGTCCACACGAGAGACTGACAATTTTTCTAAGGTAAGTAAATAATTCATTTAATCTGTGTTATACATTTATTGTTAACTGAGGGAAATATTTCAATATTGTTTTTTATTAATGCAACAAAAAAAGCTAATATTACGCTTGATACTACTGATTCGAAAAAGAACACTAGTTAACAAAATAATCCTAAGAAAACAAACAAATTCACAGCCAACAAAAACATAAAAATATAATTCTTCACTAACAAAAAATTAAATGACTTAAATATATCTTTGGCATGATTAGTGAGGTAATGTTGAATTTTCATTAGGAGGTAAGTGGGACCCGAATAGTGAATAGTATGTAGAAGAGTTTTCACAAAATGACGAAGATTCGTCTTGTATAGAGGTTTGATTTGACATTGGCTGGAGTTTGTAGAGGTGGTTGATTCTGCATAGGTGACTGAATTTGCGTTGGTAGCTGAATTGGTACTGCCTGATGAGCTTGCACTGGTGGTTGATTGTGAGTCAGTATTTGATTTTCACTTGGAGTTTGTGTTCCCAGATTAAACGAAGAATTTGATAACATTTGTAATTCGTATGAATTTACTATTTGAAACACTTTAGTTTTCACCGAAGCTTGCCACAATGGGGGAAATGTAGCTGTAGTTTTGCCCATATTAACAAAAAATTCTATTAGTGGCCTGTTTTCATTTATTGGTGTTACTTGATCTTTGGCCTGCTTTTCTAAACGGCTACGTTTTTTATCATCAACATATTCTTTTAATATTTCCGGTATTGATTCAGCATTTCTGGCTGCATGTTTGATTTTTTTGGAACGCGCGACACTGTTTACACTTGTAGCACGGGATGCTGGTCTTGAAATATCCACGCTTGAAGAACAAGACAATGGTGTGTTTGGCTGTGAAATGGAACGTGGAAGATTTGTAATAATTTCATCATCATAATATTCGCACATGTCTTCTCTCTGGCTTTGTGTATTATTTTCCACTTGAGTTTCGACATCATCGTCCTCACTGACATCTTGCGATATTTCGGAAACATTTGAATGAGTTCTGAAATAAATACATTACTGGCTATTAAATTCATAATAATAGCATACTAAAATATAAACGTACTCTCTTCCTTCAATATGAGGCTGAAGAAAAGCCATAGCATCCCAATATTTCCATTTTTTTTTTACTTTTGGCAGCTTGTCCACTTTTTGTTAGACTGTTTCTTGCTGCTCTCTGAAAAGCATCTCTTAAAGTTTTTCATCTCTGCTTACAAACCTCGGCTAAAAAAGTACATGCAATATTATTTTTAACAATCACGAAATTTAAAAAAACTATATATTTATAGTATACGTTTGATGTTTTTTTCAGGTTTTTGTCAACGGAAGCAGACTACCAGACACTGTTTTTCAACTTTAGAATAGGACACTCCACTATACACAAGATTATAAATCATACCGCCAATGTTATTTGGGAGACTTTAGGAAACATTGTTATGCCACAACCCACAACACAGTTACTTCAGTATTGTGCAAACAAATTTGAAAGTACTTGGAACTTTCCTAATTGTGTGGGTGCGATAGATGGCAAGTATGTCACTATACAAGCACCTCCCAGAAGTGGATCCTTGTATTTCAATTATAAGAAATCATTTTCAGTAGTGTTGTTAGCTATTGTAGATGCAGAATACAGATTCGTTGCGGTGGATGTTGGAGCATACGGTAAAAATAGCGATGGTGGAATATTTAATGATTCAAATATGAGAAGAAGTCTTAAAAATGGAACTTTTGGAATGCCTAAGGATCGAGCCATCACCGCAAATGGCGAATCTTTACCACATGTAATAGTGGGAGACGAAGCGTTCCCTTGTAAAACTTATTTAATGAGACCTTATTCAGGACGCGGATTGTCACAAGATAAAAGGATTTTCAACTATCGTCTCTCAAGAGCTCGTAGACTCTCCGAAAATGCTTTTGGGATTCTTTGTCAAAAGTTTAGAATATTCTTGAATAAATTAAATATTCACCCAAAAAATGCCGATAAAATAATTTTATCTAGTCTATGTTTGCATAACTTCCTTAGAAATGACAATTACTTTTTAACCGTACTAGAGCAAGAAAAAACAGAAAATGAAGCTCCAGTTCTTACATTGGAGGAAAATGCTCTAGTGAAGCAATTCAAATAAGAGATGCTTTTAAGGCATATTTTCGGGGGCAGTTTCTTGGCAGGAGGGTGCAATTAATGCCGGAAAATGGTAGACGTTTTGAAATTTGCGTTTTTTTAAATAAGTCATAAATGCTTAAAAATGTTGCATATCCAGTTGATCTATGTAATTGTTAAGCAATCTAGTAACAGTTTAACGAAAATATCCTGTTTGTATTCAATTATTTCTTAAAAAGGACCCGTCAACAATAAGTTCTTTCATATGTTATTTAAATGGATAATTAAAGCAATAGTTAATTAGCACTTACCTTTTTCATTAATTTTATTCCCTATTTCCAACCAAACTATATCCCTCCTATTTTGATTACTGTAGTTTTTATTAGCCATATCATATAATTCACTGTATTCACCCACAAGAAGGATAAGCTTTTCGATTTTTTCTCCGTCCATAATTAAAACTGTGATGATGACTTTTTAGCAAAATTCAAAAAGTTGCTGCTTGCATGCGAAACCTTCTATTCCCACCTGTCCGTCAACAAGCAGAGCCGCGCATGCGTAGCGACAATGCTGCGAGTCAATGCTTCACGAGGAATTAAAATTTTGCTGTGTCGCGCTGCTCTGCTCTGCGCAGCGCCGCTCTGCTTAGGTGAAAACGGTTTCATTTAATTACAAGTAGACAATTGTAAGCAGCATTTGGCTGCACCGCTCGGCTCTGCGTCGCGCCGCTCGATGCTGCTTAGATGGGAATTGGCCTTTATTCTACTCACGGTTCTAATGTACGGACGATTGGTAATTACTCAAAACCAAGGTCTGCTTCGAAGTCTCTTGTATACATTTCAGGTTACTTCCTGTTGGCCTGCTTTTGTCATGGTTATTCTATTTATTCTTTAGTCGTCTGATTATTAAATATTCGTCAGTAAAAGGAATTTTCATGCCCGGAACGTAATCGCCTCTAGTTGTAGCTCTTTTTGCAAAATTATCTACTATCTTGTTTTCTTTTATACCTGAGTAACCTTTGATCCAGACTATGTTTATAGTTTTGTCGATTCTGTTCAGCTCCTGAACGCGGTTGATGATATACGCCATTAGATGATTAAGATCTGCAGTGAGGTGACAATTGTCCATTTTTGTTACAGAACTTCTGCAGTCGGTAATTAATTCACTGATCAACAGCCAAAAAATATCCTAAATAAACTCAACAAAATATTACTATTTTTAATGTGCTAAAACCGGAATGAAACTTATTTTTTCAATATTAGTTCAAGTTTTAGAGATACGGTAATTATATGTGTTCCTGCTGTGACAGTGTTAATATACTGTAATTCACAAGAATGCACGTGCTACATTTTTATATTCGGCAAGGAAAGATGATGACGGCATGATTGTGTTACGTTATACATACGTGTACATTATATTGTTTTATATTAGCCATTTTTTCCTCAGTTGGCTGACAGCGTTCATGCAAGATGTCTCGAAAGTGTATAAACAATCCAGATCAGTTTTGTTACGTGTGTGGTGATGTGACTTTTGCGTCTCAGAGACGGTCTATTACTCCACTAATAACAAGGGCATATCAGCTTTATTTCGGTTGTAATCCAGGTGATCAAGACAAACAGTGGGCACCCCACATCTGCTGTAATACATGTGCTTCAAGTCTGAGGAGCTGGTTAAATGGCAAAAAACGGTCTATCCGCTTTGCTGTCCCAATGGTTTGGAGAGAGCCTACAAATCATATTAATGATTGTTAGTTTTGCATGGTACCTTATGTTGGACAAGCCACAGGTATATCCAAGAAAAAAAAATCGGTTATTAACTACCCAAACATACCATCTGCGGTGAGACCTGTGCCTCACAGTGACGAAAATCCTATTCCAAAACCCCCAGAATCCGACACTTGTGAATCAGAAAACGAATCAGATCATGGCGATCGAGTGATTCGTCAGGAAGAAGATATGCCATCAACGTCAAGAGATCCTGATTTTATACCGAGCACGTCATGCCACCAACCGCACAAAATAACACAGTCAGAATTAAATGATCTTGTAAGAAATTTAGAACTTCCAAAATGTAAGGCAGAGTTACTTGGATCAAGATTGCAGCAGTAGAACTTGTTAGAAGACAATGTTTCGGTATGTGTTTTTCGTAAACGCCACAAAGACTTAGAACCATTTTCCAATATGGAGAATAACTTGGTTTTCTGCAGTAACATTAATGGCTTACTGGCGGCTTTAAATATAAACTATAACCCAGAAGAATGGATATTGTTTATAGACAGTTCAACATTGAGTTTAAAGGCAGTGTTATTGCATATTGGAAATATTTTACCATCTCTTCCTGTAGGGTATGCAGTTCACATGAAAGAATCATATGACAATATGAAGTACCTATTGACATGCATAAAATACGATGAGCACCAATGGCATATTTGTGGCGATTTGGAAGTTGTTGCACTTTTACTTGGGCTGCAGCTAAGCTACACAAAGTTTTGCTGTTTTTTATGTGAATGGGACAGTCGGGCAAAGGCACTTCATTACACCAGACAAAACTGGCCTGTTCGTCAATTCCTAGAGCCAGGTCAAAAAAATGTACAGCATATGCCATTAGTAGATTCGAAAAAAATTTTATTACCACCACTGCATATCAAGTTGGGCCTAATGAAAAACTTTGTCAAGGCATTAGATAGAGCTGGGTCAGCTTTTCAATACCTGCGTCAGAAATTTCCAAGACTAAGTGAGGCAAAGTTTAAAGAAGGTATTTTTGTTGGGCCACAGATTCGAAATATTTTGAAAGATACACAGTTTGAAAACACTTTAACAGGTATTGAAAAAACTGCTTGGAATGATTTCCGTCTGGTGGTCACTAATTTCTTGGGAAATAGAAAAGCTGACAACTATAAAACCCTTGTCAAAAATATGCTGTCATCAAAGATGGGTCTCTTAAGATACATTTCCTACACTCACACCTGGACTCTTTTCCTGACAATTGCGGAGCCGTAAGTGATGAGCACGGCGAACGTTTTCGTCAGGGTATTTCAACAATGGAAAAAGGTACCAGGGAAAGTGGAATCCTTCCATGCTTGCAGACTACTGTTGGACTCTTGGTAAAGATGCTCCTGAAACGATCCAGAAAAGAACAGCAAAAATACAGCGGATATAGTGATTCTTATAAGTATATATATAAGTTATGAATCTTGTTACTTTTTTTAATATATCCTTAAAAATAAAAAGTTTTTTTTCTAAACTAATTTTTTTATTTCATTGTCATTTTTGGATTCAGTGCCCCAAAATTAACAAAGAGGTGCAATTTTCCCACAAGATACAATTAAAAAACTAAAATTTGTTGTCTATTAAAATTAAATGACAAAATTGTTATTTCCCTGGAATTGAAAACAGTAAACAGTATTATTCAATAGCGTGATTGATCGCGACCAGTTTTGCTGTGTACACAGAACATTCAGGTAGTAATTTGAATTCTTGGTGATAGGAATTGTTGCTGCGATAAAATGAACATCTTGTTAAATTTTCGTCCTTCGAACTATCCTTGAAGATATATTCCCATCTACTCCATCGTGCTTGAATATCATGCCAGAATTTGTAAGATGTTGATAAATATAGTTCGTAACATTTCGTATAGATAACTTCGGATGGATAATTATACGTAGAATAGTCAGGTATGTAACTTGTAGTCATTTGACTAGAGTGTACCTTCTTGATGGTCTGTTAATCCATGAATAAACAATTTGTGGGTCTCACTAATCAATCCCTTCCTGACCAATTTAACCAGAGCTTTGCCGCTCAACTTTCGTCGTCTCAATGGAAGAGGAGGTTTGATGCATTCGACCTCCAGGACATTGATGGGAGTGCTATTTAAATACCCGATACACAACATAAGACACTTATTTTTGATCTGTTCAATGTTCTTAATATGAGTTCTTGATTTATTTCCGTAAAATATTGATCCGTAGTCCAAAGTTGATCGAACTAAGGTCCTGTCAAAAGCACATTGCCTTGGATCTGCTCCCCATTTCCGATGAGAAAAGGCCTTCAGAATGTTAAAAGCATTCTGACTTCTCTTGAAAATGTATGTATTGTGTTCTTTCCAGTTTAAGTTTTTAATCTAGCATAACTCCCAGGTATTTGACAGAAGTTTTATGTGATATATTCTGCCCGGCTAGAGTGATGGTATTTGAACGACTAAGGCGAGATCTGGTAAACGTACATACACAAGATTTTGAGTAGGCAATGGAATATCCATTATTCTCAAACTATTCTTGTGCAATGGAAACCGCTATATCTAGAAGTTCCATAGGTTGAGATACATTTTTGTTCTGGGTCCTAATGACATAGTTATCTGCAAACTGTTGTAGTTCAGCATCTCTCGAATTAAAAGCTATTTCAAAGTCATAGGAATACACGTATATAATATACAAGATGGGACTCAAGACACTGCCTGGTGCTAGTCCTTTAGATGTTGAATAAGGTCCAATAGTCTGCTCAGCGGGACTAATGAAAATTTTTCTATTTCTATACAGTAATAACTAATAAATGGTTGGCAAGTTCCTTTGGAAGACCAATATTAATAATTTTACTGTATAATAATATTCGAGTCTACATTATCATATGCTCCCGTAATATCTAAAAATATTACAAAAGTATTCTCGTTATTCGAAAATCCAATTTGGATATCAGTTGTTAACTTTATCAACAATTCTTGAGTAGACCGTCCTTTTCGAGATCCATATTGCGAGCTTGGGAGCAATTGGTTTTTCTCCAAGTAGAATTCCAACCTGTACTTTAGGAGCCTTTCGTATGTTTTCAAAACGCATGAAGCTAGTGCAATGGAATAATATGAATCTTTCGGTATTTCAGCATCCCCACAATATATGTTATTGAAAATAATAATAAATAAATTCCCGTACCCACTGTGATGAAGCTTCTATATTATGATACCTACTCTGTTATTTAAAGATGGACAATACTGACGCCAACTGACTCTCTTGATCTTTTTGAATATTTGTTTGACCTTCACGTCAAGTTTTTTAAAATTGAGTAAGTTTTCAAGATATTGTATAAAACTATCCTTACGTTTTTCTAGTGCTATATTGCATTCATTGGTCGACCACGGTTTTCCTTTAACATTATTTCTGTTTGCATACTTCAGAAAAGTAGCTTCAGCTGACTGGTTAACACTTTTAATGAAAGTGCTATAATCTATACTAGGTGACATATAAATCCGAAAACCCAGTTTAAATGGTTTTATTTTAATAAAAGTTGGTGAATGTATTTATCTCACTGTAAATAACAAGTGAAAAAATTTTCAGCCTTATCAGTTGGACTTAGTGAGTTTGATAGGGGCCGTATAGTGGGACTTCGGGAAGCTGGACTTTCTTTTCGGGCAATTGTAGTTAGAGTGCAAAGAAGTGTAGACACTGTGGTTAGGTGTTGTCAGGCATGGCTTCGAGAAGGCCGTATGCAAAGAGCAAGGGGCACTGGACGCCGCCGTAGATCAACAGACCGTGAAGATCGCCGCCTAAGATTATTGGCCTTAAGGGACCGTTTCTCCACTACCAGGTCCATTGCAAATGAATGGTTTGCAGAACACGGAAGACCTATTGGCATGCGAAGTGTTTACCGACGAATGAGAAGTTTTGGCTTGTTTTCAT